ACAGATCGTGGCCCTCGATAACCATTGGCTGCAAACAGAGGCGCCCTTGCACATAAAACACCGCCGTCGTTGTCACGGCCGTCGCGGTCTGTGAAAAGAGCTTGTCAAATGCGGTCACTATTGTAGCACTTTGGTCGATTGACGGGTCCCAAACGGCTAACGTGAGGTCTTTGAGAACTACCTCTCTTCTTTTCGGGTTGTAGCGAGCGTCGGACGATATCAGGTAGCGGATGATCGGACAACCCGCTTGGCGTTGTTGAGATTGCAGTTGCCGGAATGCGAGATATCTCGGGGATTCCCCATGCAAGAGGCACGTAAAGTCTTTACTGACCAAAATAAAGTCCACACACTTAATTGCGTCACTGAAAAGATCATGGAAAATAAAACGATGGATTTCTTCCATCTGTGTTGTTGTCGGGCATTGTAACGCCATTCTCAGGTGAAAGTCATTACTTTTTTTACGTATCGGCCAAAAGAAGTTGATCAGCTGGAAGGAACGACTTATGTATGAGTTGGCGCAGAACGGCGAGAGCCTGTTCTGATGCTGACGAGCGTCTTGGAGCAGTATCTACCTCTTGAGTGATGACGAGGAAGGCTGCCATGAGGCGATCCCTTAAAGAGAAGAGCATAGGGGGGCGGAAAGGTCCAGACCCGCCTTTCATGTCCATGTGAAAAGCCATTTGGTGAGAACTGTTTTGGATGATAAAAGCAACTGATATGAACACAGACGGAAGAACGCGAAAGTCCTGCAAAGAAGGCACCTCTAGAAGCTTGTGCCTTCTTGCATAGTATCTATGGCCGGTCATGCTCTTGACTCCCATGAAAGCTTCCAGATATGGGCGACGAAGTGGCATGTTGGAAATGGTGAGCGTTTCGAGTCCTGTGATTCTCCAAGGTACGCTTACACAAAACAGACGACAAGAAATATCTACCTCATGAAGATGACTCGGAAATAATCAAAGACTACGATAGCGCTAGTCTCTTTTCTTTGAGAAGACTTGAGGTAAGTAAGATCGCTCGCGAGCATCAGGCTGAGCTGTCGCTAATTTCCGAAATCAGCGAAAGACCTTGCCTTTGGCACATTACATGGAAATTCAAGAGTGCGTTTCGCAGAGATGGGCGTCACGACTACAGGTCTGTACGAAGTTCGTTCGATTCGCAACGTATCTCCACATCCCTATCGAGACGGTCTATCTAGCGGTCAACTGTCTTGACCGATTTCTCTCGGTTCGAGTCGTGTCAGAATACCATCTCGACGTCATTGGAGCGACCATCTTTGCCATTGCGACCGAGTTCGAAAGATCGAGCATACCTTCTGTGTTTGAACTCGATAGTAGTCTCGCAGAGCGATACCAACCAGAAGATGTTCCTTTTATCAAGGCAACCATAGTTGACGTTTTAGAGAACTCGCTCAAAACACCGAGTCCGTTCGTGTTCCTTCGTCGGATCAGCACCGCAGACACGAAGGTGCCGAACATGCTCCCGCTTGCGCAGTATCTATCGACGTGTAGTCTACTAGATGAAAGATACGTCGGAATTGAGCCGAGCCGGATTGCGGCAGCGGCCTACTACCTTGCTCTGCGGATTGTATTCACGAGGAATCGTCTCGAACTCGATTGGGTGAGAAACTCTCCTACAGCCGCCACCGAAGCTAATGCCGAAGTAGAGCTACAAGCACATCAAGCTCTCTGGGTACAGGGCGGTAGAGCTGAGACCACTAATGGCTGCGTTGTGGAACACCAGCCAACAGGAACAAAGCACCACACCTATCAAAGCCATGCGGATTGCCCAGTTTGGAGAAGCAGCCAAGGTCGTAGACCTTACCTCGAACGGCATTCTTCCCTTTTTTCCACGATGCTTCAAACCGTGGGATTATGAGGGCCTGTACGTTCCCTCCTGGGACGAGTCAGCAGATAGCTCGCCAGAGAACATCTCAAGCTCGTCAGAGTCCAGCTCACAAGATGAATGGGAAGAGGAGATATAAAGGGACACAAGTAATGATCTCCATGGTAGGCGTGGTGGAGCTTTTTGTCCTGTC